CTCAGGATTCGACTTAACCCGTTCTGTGAGAGATTTTGGATTAGACAAAACCCCGGAGAAAATGTTGGTGGAGTTACAGAACCTAAAAAGGCTTGGGGGAGAAAAATGAATTAGTAAAGACAAGAAAGTGGAATTAGGGGCTGAGCAAGAAGCATGAAGGAATGTACACCCCAGAACAGCAACTGTATTCTGCTGTGTAGCACACACACACCTCCAGGTAACACAGAGCCTTTCAAGGGATTTCTAGACGCTGCTACTTTTAGGGAAGTAAACTTTTCCGATGTTCTCTTTCCTGAAATCGAACCGAGAAGCTGCCGCAGTCTGCCCGTGCCCCTTGCCTCCCTCCGCTCTCACATTCCCGTTTTCCCAGGCGTAGAAGGCACACGTACCTCTTGGCCGTCCCACACCTCACCATGGCACGATGCCTAGGGGTACAAAACCCACAGGGGTACAAAACCCCAAAAGGGGCTTTTCCCTAAGAACCAGAGAGTAAACAAAAGAGCACCTGGGTAAAATCCAGTGGAGGGGCTGGCCCCGTTTCACCGGACCACAAACCACAACACACGAGCACCAGGGTGGCTCTGGGACTTATCTCTGTTTCTGCCTAACAATGACAATTTTGAAAAATATGGCAAACGCTTGTGGTGAGGACACATCTGACAAGTCTAACTGAACCTAAAAACGAAGTCGGACTTTTTCTGACAGGAAGTGAAGTCTAACTTGGCCAGCTGGCATAACAGTGCTGATTGGTTTTTAGCCAGTTAGGTTATTTGGTAGATATTTTACATATTGAAGAGGCTTAATCTCCAAGTCCAAAATTTTGACAAACATATCCTTGAAACCAGTACACAATAAATGACCAGAAATTACTTCCTTTGCAACTGTTTAAACTTAAATTAGTTGCCAATATCAAAACGTGTGAGAGGGTAATTTTTTGAAAAATTTTCAGGCCGACACGCTAAAAATTCTGAAGATCGCTGCTATGTGTTAATTACAGGCTGTGGAAACCACCTACTATAATGGCATCTGACCAGATTACCTGAAGTGGTCTGAATATGGCTCTGCCCCAACACAGGAGAATGTAATCAAACCACCTTCCATAGTTCTTTCCTTGCCCTAGATTCCATAGAAAGCCAACACAATGACAAAGGATTGTTCAAGTGAAAGCAAAGCTCAGACACAAGCACCGTGGGAAAGTATAAAAGATAAAGAAGACGTAGGGTAGTTCTATTTTAACTTTTTGAGGAACTTCCACACTGTGGAGAATGGGTGATGGGCACTGAGGAGGGCACGTGTTGGGATGAGCACTGGGTGCCATACGTAAGCGATGAATCACGGGAATCTACCCCCAAAACCGAGCACACTACATACACTTTATGTTAGCTAAACTGACAATAAATTATATTAAAAAAAAAAAAAAGATACTATGTAGTGCCTCTGCCCTCAGGGGATTTGCAATTCAGACAAAAATACAAAGAACTAATGAAAAAAGCTGAACAGAGGAAGTCCTGAAAGAGTTAGCACAGACCAGGAAAACCCCTCGTGGGCCTAAGAAACAAAAGGCACACGTAACAGACTCCAGCACCAGCATTTTAACATTATTTGACTGTTTACGGGCCTTGGACCCTGAAGGTCCAGGATGTGTATGAGTTTGACTTTGCTTTGGCACATAGTGAATCACGCACTCCAAAGTTAGAATTGGCAGGGAAAGGCCCTTAGCCATTGAATGAACATCTCTTAGCCACACACACATTAATGCTCTACTCGTTATCTTCGTGAAGATGTCATCTTCATGAAGAATGGCTCTCAGAACAAAGTCAACTGGTATTGCTATTAATGAAAGTAAGCAGAAAAAGTAACATTAATACGAAGTGATGGTTCTCACCAGAAAAACACAACTTTTGTGGAAGTGAATACTCAAAAGCTCGAGATTCCCACATCTCAGGTTTATACTTGGAGAAGGCCAAGGATCTACTATGCTTGGGTTTAATTAGAGCAGTATGTATGAAGGGAGAGTGACAGAAGGGCTTGAATGCCAGGACAAGAAAAGGGGATGTTAATCCACAAGTCACAGAAACCACAAAAGATGAGGGACTACAGGTGGAGAGATGAGGTGAGTACCACCATCTATGCGAGGTAAAGCCTGAAAACAAAACGCATCAGAAATGGAAAGCAAGAGGGCGCCTGGGTGGCTCAGTCGGTTAAGCATTGACTTCAGCTCAGGTCATGATCCCAGGTCTGTGGATTTGAGCCCCACATTGGGCTCTGCTGACAGCTCAGAGCCTGGAGCCTGCTTCAGATTCTGTGTCTCCCTCTCTCTCTCCCCATTCTCCACTCACACTGTCTCTCAAAAATAAAAAAAAATAAAAAAAAAAAAGAAAGAAAGAAATGGAAAGGAAGATCCCTGACCAAGGGGAAAAAGGTTCCAAAGAACTTGGGGACCCACGAATAGTGAGGAAGCAGGAGGGGGGAACAGGACTGAGAGGTGGAGTCCCCTGTGGCCAAGAAGATGGTGGGGCCGTTACCAGAAACAGGGAAATTCAGAAAAGGCTAGGGACAGATACTGGGGCCTGACTATAGTTTTGGAAGAAAACCATCAGGCAGAGGGCAAGGAACTGCTGCCCCTAACATCCAAAGTCAATGAGCCCAAGGGGAGAATAACAACAAAACAGCTAAGGCCAGACTGAAAAGAATGTGTACTCACCCCGGTATGAATTCAGTACCATCTGCTGGGCAAGGTCCCAAACCTTGATACTAAGAAGCAAAAGGAAACAGAGTCTTAATTTTGACCTATACTATCTACATAAAAACACGTGTTCAAACAAGAACTTCCTTTGACATGTCCTATGTCATTGCTTACTGGGCTGCTACTAAGGTCTATTCACAATAGATTGCAATATCTCTAAGAAAATCTTAATCATAATTAATCACGGGGTTCTTACAATAAGCCCAAAACGTTACTCGATGAGGCTAATAAGATAGTAAAGGAACCCAGCAGAGGTCTAAAATACAGGAGCGATAAACACAAGGACCCACCAGAAGTCTTTGCTACCGCTGACAGCTTGTGTGCCAGAGCTGAGGACACTGACAGTAGACACGATGTCATCATGCTCATACTTGCAGAACTTGCTGACAATGAGTGTCTCATTCTCATCCAGCTCCCACAATTCAACAGCACCTGTTGGGAGTGGGGTGAAGGTTGAGGGAAATGAGCATGGACAACACCAAGACAGTAACTCACGTCTAAGATTCAAGTGAATCCATTGTCACTAAACTAACAAAGTAAGCTATTGCTATAAAAGCAAAATCCATTATCATCAGAGGATTTAGCTAATTTCCAAGCCATCTGGCTTTATGCTGGCATTACTGTTTTCTTAGTTAACAATCCAGAAAATGAGGTGGGGAAAACTTCTAGAAAGACAAGGAAAGGTGGAATGACTGGCAAAATTCATTATCTGGCTTCCAGTGAGAAAACACTGGAAAATAAGTCCCAGGAGACAAGGCTAAAGTCTCCACAATCTGTGTAGCACAGAGCCCAGTGTGGTTAAATCTTCCCAATTGCTTGAACATTAGTATTTGTTGAACAACGTGCATAAATGTCTCACAGCATCTTTAAAAATATGCTGAATAACTGAATGTCTTGCACAGGGGCAGATTAAGTACAGAAAACACCCCAAAAGTTGTCTTGAATATGTAGTGCTCATGCTCAACTGTCAGAGAGGCTCAGTTTTCAATGCCCCACTTCTATGCACGCCTTCCAACACCCAAATACTGATTTTTTTTTAATATCAAAGACTCCATTGCTGAACCTGACTTTCAAAACAAAGGAAGCAAAATAAAGACATTTAAAAAGAAGAAAATGGGAAGAAATGGAAAGAGACAACACAAACTGACTTAAGCATCATCTTTAAGATCAAGATTGTCTGGGTTTGAGGAGAGATACTGGGAAGGTTACTGGAAACATAAAATGGTTCTTATCCATTCCTTAATTTTGTTAGAAATTCCCCCCATGCAATTTATAGTCTCTGAAAGGTATTTTCCCACTACACAAGAGCTCTCCTTTGGCCAATACCCTCAAGCCCCCCTAAGCACTGATTATGGAACATTAAAGATTGAGTCCAGCCCGACCAGTATCCCATCATCTATTTCACCTGTGGGGTCGAGGAGAAAGTGACTCACCTGAATCGGAAGCCACTAGGATACCTCTGTCCCCAACCCAAGTGAGGTCAGCCACTCCGGCCTCCGTCTGTACTCCAGCGGAACAGAAGCCTTCGTTGGGGGCGGCACAAGGGTCCTTGAACAACCAGAGGGAGCCAGCCCAGCAGCGGCCACTCAGGCTGGAGGCCCCGAGCAGGAGCGCCCCATCTAAGGGAAGTACGAGCTGTCAGCACGGGACTAGTGGAAGGGCTCGTCTCCATGGTGACCACATTGAACAGCACGCGGGCCGGGTCTGGGTCTGAGCTCAGGAACGCGGGGTTAAGATTGGGGACTGAACTAGGCGACGCGAGGCGGGGGTCAGGAAGGCATGCGGGGCGGGAAGGAGCGCTGGAAAGGCCAGTCCTGGGAAAGGGCATCCCGGGCAGGATGAGGGAGCTCCCAGGCCTGGGATCTTGGCTCACCAGAACGATACCGCGCAGCCTCCAACTGTCGTTCCATACAAGCGGGCGCATTAGGGGGAAGGTTCCACTCGCGGGCCGCCGAGGGCACTAGTGGGGGCGGCGTTTCCTTTCGCATCTCCACGGTTCCAACTCCAGCTTAGACCCAAACTGAACGCCCGCCCGAGACAGCTCCGGCAGTCCCCACGTGGTGCCCCTCTGGGCCTCCGCCCCTCTCCGCAAGCTACGGTCACTCTACATCTCGCGAGAATTGCTTGTACGGTTCCCTTTCGCAGCCGGCTGCGCTCTGGCAAAAGGGTCTCCGCGTTCCGTGCCTCTTATCGCGAGAAAAAAAATCCGAGGCCAGTTAATGGCCAGAGGACGCAACGTTGTGTTCTCGCGAGACTTGTGAGCGACCATCTTGCTCCCGCCCCTGACCGTGTCTCTTGCCCGGGTCACTAGGACGCGGAGAGTGCTGCGTGGACCCTCGCTGACTATGCTGTCCCGGGTGGTGCTTTCTGCGGCCGCTGCAGCGGGTGAGCCGTCTAGACCCTAGTCCGGGCTATCAGGATGATTGCAAAGGAATGCGTCTAGGATTCCATGGGAAGGGTGGGAGGAAATGGGGTGTAGAAAGGCGCAGCAAGACTTGGGCCTGAGTGAGAAATGAATTACGTCTCTCGTAAGGGGAGCGTGGGAGTCCCGGGGGACAGGAAAGAGGAGTCCATGGTCTTAGTGGGCAGGCCTCGCGGGGACCGAGGGAGGGTCAGATGAGATTTCACCTTGACCTTGCTGACCTGCGCCTTGTTTCTGTGTAGCCCCCCGTCTGAAGAACGCAGCCTTCCTCGGTCCAGGGTAAGTAGGAGAGGTGTAATACTGCCCTTCGTCCTTGTTTTATCACCTCGTTTCATGTCTCTGTAACCCCCTTTTAGCTTTAGGCCTGAAGTTACCCTCTTTAGGTAATTTTGAAAAGCTTAAAGCCTCATTCAAACATTTGTGTTGTTCTAACCGCCTGGAACATTGTGTCATCTCACGGCAAAGATTAATAGGCTAAGCGATGTGTTCTAACTAAGCTGGAAACTGGTGTTTGGTGTCTTCTAAGCCCCGCCCCTTTCCCTTCTGACCTTCAGCTAGAGGTAGCTGCCACAGTCCACAGCCGGAGTCGGAGTTGATAGATTGCATACCCAAAAACGAGTTCTGTTAAATAAAAGAAGAATGTTGTTTTCAGTCTCTCCCAGATTCCAACTTTTACTACCAAATCTTAAGAGTCAGAGAAATCATTCGTTCAGTAAATGTCTTCCTACCTACATAACCAAAGATAGAAAAATGAGGAAGGCTAACTAACTTGGTTTTGTGGAGCTCAGTCTTCTAGAGAAGACAGTGGTAGAGAGTAATGGTTTAGAGCAAAGATTCTAAAGCTAGAACATGATACACCTGGTTCCTCCACTTGTGATGCTGTGTGACTGCAATTTCCTCATCTGCAAAATGGAGATAATAGTACATTGTGGGTTATGAGAACTAAGAGACTTGGTTCCTGTGAAACTCTAAGAACAGTGCTTGATACATAGTATGTGATTAGTGTTACCGTCTGTCACTCATGTTTCATAAAACATGTCAGTTTTCTTTGGAATTTCTTTTTGCTTCCCGACTTAGTCCTAAATCTTGCCAGATTTGATAGCTATTTGTGCCTTGAAAAAATGGCTTTAATCCATCTGTCATTTTTGCGTGTGCAATAAAGTGAGGCTATAATTGCGTCTAGCTTATCAGAAAAAAAGATTCCATATGGACAAGTTAACAAGTCATTGTAAAAGAAGTCATAAATAAAATAACTGTATATAAGATATAGGGAACATCCTTGATTTCTCCTTCCACATCCCATATTTAATTCATTCAACAAGGCCCTTCCTCCAGATTTTATCTGGACTCTTGTTTTTTTCACTACCACTGCTACTGAAGTATGAACCACTGTCAACTTTCACCTGGTCTATTTCAGTAGTCTCTCCGTTCTTGTCCTGTTACAACCTGTTCTCACAGTAGCCTTAAGGATTACATGACCCCCACTCCTCCCCCCAGTCCCAACAAAACCCTCCAGAGCTCCCCATCCCACTGAAATAAAATTCAGAGTTACCATAACGCAGAAGATCCAACATGAATTGATCTCATCCTCCCTCTCGATTTATCTCTTTATATTCTCTTTTTAGCACACTCTCCAGCCATGCTGGCCTTCTCGCTGTTCCTTTGAAAATTGCCAAGCTTACTGTTGCCTCGGGTCTTTGTACTTGTTCTCTCTTTTCCCCAGGTCATTGACTCATGTGTCGTCTGACCTCCTACCAAAAAAGCCTTTTGCACTGCATTGCTCCCTAGCTCCTTACCTTACCCCACCCCATTTTTCTTCATAGACTTTCAGTGCCTGAAATTGTATGTGGACCTACACACTCATACGTTCCACAACCCCACTAGAATGTGAAGGCTGGGACCTTGTCTGCTCATTGCTGTACTGCCAACACCTGACATAAGGATGACTGAATGTGAGATTGGGGAGGCCTCTATAAAGGATATGCTTGAAATGTTGTGAAGGCTGCTTGGGCTTGGCAGCCGTTTAGTGAAAGACATACCAGGCAGAAGGAGCAGCATGAGGCATGTTTTTGGTTTTTTTGTTTGTTTTTGAGAGCTCTGAGTAGTTCCATATGGCTAGAGGGTAGGAGAATGAAGGAAGATGATATAAAATCTGACAGGTGCTGAATCGTGTATGCTATATTAAGGAGTTTGTTTTCTGTAGGCAGGAGAGCCTATTGAAGAGTTTTAAAGTCAAATTTGCATTTTAAAAACATTGGCAGTAGCGGGGAGGAGCTAAGTTTAAGAGGTATATTTGTCGAGAAGCAGGGAGACCAGGTTTGGGATTGTTAACTGGTTTAGGCCAGAGATAATGAGGGCTTGAACTAAGGCAGTTGGGGAGAGAATTTGAGTTGGTCTGAAGCAAGTTTTATAGTTTAAACAAGCAAGTTTAAATAGTTCAAGAACTTGTTGAAGCAACTTCTATAGTTCAAGATTTAAACCACTGATTTAAATCTGGTTCTCGTCCTGGAGTAGTATTGCTCTCCGGGGACATTTTGGCAATGTCTGAAGACATTTTTGGTTGTCACCACTGGGTGGGAGAGGGGATGCTAATTGGCATCTTGTGTATAAAGGCCTTGGGGGTACTGCTAATCACTCTACAGTGTACAGAACAGCCTTCCACAGCAACAAAAAAATTGACAATAGTCCAGAAAGTCAGTAGTGGTGAGGTTGAGAAACCCCCATTTAAATGAAAGAATCTCGAGCATGATTCTCAGATTTCAAAAGTTGGTGGGCTAGCCAAGACATTGAGAGGAGAAATATTCAAAAGACAAGCAGCAAACCAACATCAATGAAATAGTATAAACGCCTACATTGCAAAGGGATAGAGGCAGAGCAGGGGGGTGGGGGACAAAAACATGTTGGGAATTTGAAGGAGACGGAGCTGACAGCATATATAAAAAGACTAGAGGATTTTATTTCATCAGAATTTTAATGAAATACCAATATACTGTAACTTCTAAAAATGCAACCTTGAGCTGTTGGAATATGAGCATAGTTTACAAACCCATGGTAATAGTACAGTGATTCAAGCCCAGTAATGGCATTTGCAGGTCTTCCATGTATATTTGGAGAACGAATGAATTGATCAAGCTGTATTTAGAGTATTATGTTCAGTTCTGTATACCTCCTTTTAGTAAATAAAACCAGACAGCTCCTTGTGGGGGACAGTTAGGATTGTGAGAGAACTGAAGATGTTTAACCCAGATGCACAAGCGTTATGTGTGTTACATAGAAAAATAACATTAGAACTAATGGATAGAGGTCTCGAGTTTGTACACAGCAGTTCAGCCAGCTTAAATTAAGACCAACATAATCTGTCCGACACTGAAAAGGCCTGTCTCACACCATGATTAGTTAGCACACCATCGCAGAGCATATTCAGAAGGGCCAAAGTCCTTGCCATCAAGGTACTCTCAACATAGTGGACCTGTACTGTAATAGCTAATCACTTACATAGAATTTTACCGTATGCTTAGCACCATTCTAAGACTTTACATAAAATCCTCACAGCAACCCTGTAAAAGCATGTTCTTTATTCCCACTTTACGGAGAGAAATCTGATTACAGAAGCTTAATCTTGCTCAAAGTCTAGTGGCACGTCTAGGATTTAAACCCAGATAATCTGGCTGCAGGGTCTATGTTATGTTTTCAGTTCCAGTAATAGACATACAAAGTGCTAGACAGATGACCTTTAAGACCTACAGAAGGGCTTCTGGTTTGGGTGGATAGTTACATAAAACTTCCAGTCAGGGTACCTGGGTGCCTCAGTCAGTTAAGCATCTTAACTTTGGCTCGGGTCATGATCTCGTGGTTCATCAGTTGGAGCCGTATGTCAGGCTCACTGCTGTCAGCGCAGAGCCCACTTCAGAGCCTCGGTCTCTCTCTCTCTGCCCCTACCCCACTTGCATGCTCTCTCTCTCAAAAATAAACAAACATTTTAAAAAACAAAACAAATTTTTTAGTTATTCACCTTTGTCACACAGCTAATTATTGAACCCTCCCCTTCCTGTTCCTGGTCTGTTCCCTTTCCATTATGACAGTGGGAAATCGCCTCTGTCCTCATCCCCATTCATTGTTTCTACTAATTGTGCGTACATTGTGTTCTTTTTAAAGAATAGGCTTTAAATTTGTATAATTGCTACCCGAAGGGTATTGCAGGCAACAAGGATCTTTCACACAGGGCAGCCAAGCCTTGCCCCTGTACCACCTCTTCCTGAATATGGAGGAAAAGTTCGTTTTGGGCTGATCCCCGAGGAGTTCTTCCAGTTCCTTTATCCCAAAACTGGCGTAACAGGTAAGCATTTGCCCAGTGTTCGATAGTATGTTTACATGGTATGGTTTATGTGTACCTAGGATTTTAGTGGCCTCTTACCTCTTCCATATATACCCCAAAAATGAAGTCAAAAGTAAATTGTGGAAGTGATTCAATGTAACACTTTTGATTTGGTTGCTCTAACTTGTCTTTGGAGTAAATGTGTTAGGGATTTTAACTTGATTTCATAGCGTTGTGCCATTTGTTGATACACCACATTTATTAAATGCCTGCCCTATGCAGGGCATTCTTCTAGGCATACAGGGGCAAACTAAGGTGCCTGCCATCATGGAACACGTGTTCTGTTATAGGACAGACAGTAAAGAAATGAGTAGTTGTATAAGGTATTGTCAGTTAGTGGAAGAACTATGGATTGAAATAGAGCTAGGTAAGATCATAGAGATTATTAAATTGCATATATAAGAATTAAAACAGAAATTGGGCCATATTAGGTTTTTCCCTTTTAAAAAGGCATAAACTATTCTGAGATCTTACATTTTTATAATGCAGTATTCTTTCACTTACGTTATTTAATCCTTAATAACAGTCCTGTAAGAACTTTTTATTTCACAGAAGAACTAGCAAATAAAGAATTTGCTGACATTTATTCTGTCTTTAGTGACTGAGTTGGACTTACACCCAGGGTCTCCAATTCAGTGTTTACTTTTACTTTTTTACTTTTACTGCAGTGCCTTTCTTGCTACAACTACTGGTGTGACTGTGGAACATAGGAAACCAAAGTTTTTTGGGTTTTTTTGTTTGTTTGTTTTGTTTTAACCCTCCAGGGAGTGGCCTAAAATAGCATTTCTGTACCTGAATTTGCAAGAAACATTAGGGTCCTCAGATCCCCATAGGTGATAAAAAACATTACATATGAATAGGCTTTTTCGCAAATTCATACTTAAAATTTTTGATTTGCACTCAGGGCACCTGGGTAGCTCAGTTGGTTGAGCATCCAGCTTCAGCTCATTTCATGATCTCATAGTTCATGAGTTCAAGCCGAACATTGGGCTCACTGCTGTCAGCGCAGAGCCCACTTAAGATCCTCTGTCCCCTTCTCTCTGCCCCTCCCCCACTTGTGCGCTCTCAAAAATAAGAAAAACATTAGATAAAATTTCTGATTCACAGTCAGATTTAAAGTTTGTATACTGGAGTGGCATCTGAGTGCTTCAGTCAGTTAAGCGTCTAACTCTTGATTTCTGCTGAGGTTATGATCTCACTGTTTCTAGGAGCTCCCTGCTGACAGTGAAGAGCCTGCTTGGGATTCTCTCTCCCTCTTTTTCTGTCCCACGTGGGCATGCATGCACACTCTCTCAAAATAAATAAACTTAAAAAAAATAAAATTTATATATTGGAGGCAAATATTTTTTAAAAAAGGAACTGTTGAAATTTTTTTCAGGAAAATGGATAAAATACATTTTAGACTATAACCGTTTTATTTTCATAATACATCCTAACATTCTCTGGTACTAGTGTTGCTCAGAAAAACTGTAAAATGCTGCCCTAAAGCCTGCTTTGTCCTTGTCTCGCATGTTTTGAGGCATAGCAGAAGATCCTAAAGAGACATACATCATGCTTTTGTGTCCTTTCAGAACTCATGTCCTGGTTAAAGAAAAAGATAGCTATGTTTGTAGCATTGCAATTAGGTGCTGTAAGAATTGAGAATCCTGCAATTTATTTAATTCATACAGCTTTTATATTGGGTTCTTTTTGCTTATTTCCAGTGTCTGTTTCCTATTCAATATAAAGAAATAGTATATTTGCCGCACAAATTACTTCTGGAAGTAACCTGATGTTTAGGTTTGTTAAGCAGTTGTGCTAGGCACTTTACATACATTATTTCTCAGTTTCATCCACCCTGTGAAGAAGGTACCATTCCCATTTTACAGATGAGGAAACTAAATTCAGAGATTATTAATACGTGTTATAGAGTCCGATTTCCTGGAGTCCACATCCTTATTCTTTCAACTCTACCATATGGCTCCTCAGGGCAGGGTCATCTTTAAATCCAGTTATCTTAAATCATTATATAATACCTTCAACTAATAAAATGCAGAGGTTTTTGTCTTCCCTTTCAGATACAGTATATCCATCATAAAATAACTTTTCTTTCTTTTAGGACCCTATGTGCTTGGAACTGGGCTTATCTTATATTTTCTGTCCAAAGAAATATATGTGATCACTGCAGAGACCTTTACTGCCATATCAACAATAGGATTGCTTATCTATGTAATTAAAAAATATGGTGCCTCTGTTGGAGAATTTGCTGATAAACTCAATGAGGTAAGAATCATAAACCTTATTTCTCAATTTAGATTGTGCTGAAAGCATCAATGCTGGGCGCCTGGGTGGCTCAGTCGGTTAAGCATCCAACTTTGGCTCAGGTCATGTTCTCACAGTTCATGACTTCAAACCCTGCGTCAGGCTCTGTGCTTGCTCTCTCTTTCTCTCTCTCAAAAATAAACAAACATTAAAAAAAATTGAAAGCATCAATGCCATCAAGTGATGTTTCTGATGTTAATGTTAATGTTAACAAGAAGTGAATTTAATTATAATGAGGAAAATTGTGTTAATGCTAGTTACTAATTTGAGATAAATTTTTTTAAATCTACCAAACTTTCTCCAGTTTTTCCAGTTTTGTTCATTCAGCAGGATGTTGTGTAACTATTGTGGGCAATTATTTTTAAGAATTTGTGCATTTTTTCCTGTATCTGTATGTCTCTTTGTGGGTGTTTTCACAAATGAAGAATATAACTTTGAAGAAGCATGAAATGAAGCTATTCTTGTTATCCTTTATGCTTTCATTGATCTTTGTTGTAAAATTATAATTGCAGCAAAAAATTGCCCAACTAGAAGAGGTGAAACAGGCTTCCATCAAGCAGATCCAGGATGCAATTGATATGGAAAAGTCACAGCAAGCACTGGTTCAAAAGCGCCATTACCTTTTTGATGTCCAGAGGGTAGGTTTCAGAACCTCCTAAGGAGAATGGTTACTCGTTTGTGTGCATTTAAAACAAAAATTAGAATCTCTTATGAGGAATGGTTGAATATGTTGAACATATTTTATTAAGAAAAGAGATTTGGGTGGGGGTTGGCAATTACAGCTATTTAGATATTCAATATCTGTCAAATGGATAAATAATTAGAATTACTACTCTAAAATTAAAAGTTATAAAAGAACATATTTTGGATCCACACAGAAGGGAAAGTAGTTATTAAATTATAGCTGACTAAAAAATGGTATTCGCTCTCTAAGGCCATAGGCAAAGTACGTGCTCTGTGTTTCATATAGGCTTGCTGTGAGGAAATCTGATACCTTATATTCCAGTTTACAAAGCAAATTCAGAAAACAGTGGAACTTTTTACTACAGTCAAGGCATCATTAGATGCTAAACTACTTAGTTTCTGGAACATTTTTGGAACACGTTCAAGTATTTTTGCTTTAACAATCATATTGTTATCTCCTCTGAGCCCAGTGCTTTATGCCTGATATTTATAGTGACATGGCCTTATATTGATATTTTATGTTACAGAAGCATGTATGAAATGAAAAATGAGATACAAATATCTAAAATATTAAGGATGTAGGCCAGTATTTCTTAGTGTGGTCTCCACATGTGTCAGTCGTCTTTGGTGCAGGTTTTTGGACCCAGTCAAAGACTGGAAGCAGAATCTATGTTTTTAAAAACTGATTCATAAGGATTCTCAAGCACGTAAATGTTTAAAAACCTCAGAAAACTTTAAAACCTTTCTATACATAATTTGGATTTCAACCAGAGAATGAAATAAAATCTGACTTTTGAAGATACAGCTTTTTCATAAGACTCAAATAGGTAGTCACTACATTTCTGTTTATGAAATACTTAATAGCTCCTGATCGTCAAGGCAGGTGTTGGGAATAAAAGAAAGTCTGCCTTCATGGAGTCTGCTTTCTAGCCAGGGGTTGAGAGAATGATAGAAAAACAGTAATTGAACAGATGGGAATGCCAACTGGTAATAAGTGAGATGTAGAACAATTAACTAGGTAGGAAAGGAATAGAGTTAAAAGGAACTAATTAGAGGAAAAGAGATTTACAAGGGGGGAGTTATTTTTATCAGGCAGTCTAGAAAGATCTCTAATGTGATACTTGAACAGTGACCTGAAGAAGTGATACTTGAACAGAGACCTGAAGAACAGAGACTGCAGAAGCTATGTGGACTTCTGGGAAAATAGCGTTGCAGCAGAGGGAAGAAAAATCACAAGGGCCTACACCTGGAAACTTGTCTGGTGTAGTCCAGGAAGAGTGAGGACGCCAGTGTAGCTGAAGAGGAATGAGTGAGGAGGAGAAAATGTAGCAAAGTAGATAGTGGTCAGGGGCTGGATCAGGTAAAGTTTTGTAGGCTTCTCTATGGACTTTGTCCTCTGAATGAGAAAGTCATTGAAGCTTTTAAGTTGAGGAGTAATACAGTCCCACTTTTGTTGAAGTGTCACTCTGATTGCTTTGTTGGCAAATAGCCTTCAGTCTTGTAACACTGGTTTGAAATGCCTACAAGTTAGCCAAGTACAGTTGTTAGGTACAGACCATTGGATGTAGGAGTCTGGAATTTATGGGGAGGATTCTAGGCTGGAGATTGGGGAGGTCATGAGCTGACAGATGGTACTTAAAATTACAAGACTAGAACATGATGAAAAGAAAAAAAAAACAAAACAAAACAGGTGAAAACAAGGACAGTGTCAATCTAGTCATCCTAGTTATGGTGAGGAAATAAAGGGCCTAAGAATTTGCTGTACATTTAGCAACATGGAGGTTCTTGGTAACCTTGGTAAGGGCTATTTTAGTAAAGTGATTGGAGTAGGTTGAAGACAAAGTGGAAAGAAGAAAGTGGAGTCAGTAAGGACAACTGTCAAAAATGTCACGGAGTTTTACTGTAATAGTGAGCAGAGAAATTAGCAGCTAGGAGGGGAGGATGTAGGAATCGAGATTTTTAAAAGATGGAAAGTATGATTACATGTTAGTGTCTGATAGAATTTAGGAGAGAGAGAAAAACTGATGCGAGAGAAGGGGAGAGAGGTTTGCTGGAGTGATGTCCTTCAGTAGGCCAGAGGGCTTGGGACATAGCGTGCAGGGGGATGGGCTGCATCCACGGTTCGGCCGCAGTTACAGAAAGGAAGGCAAGTACACGAGTATGGATTCAGGTGTACTAGGTTATGTGGTGGTAGAAGTTTGTGGAAGTTCTCTTACTGCTCCCCTTTTCTCAGTGAAGCAGGATGAAGGTCATTTGCTGAGAGTGAAAGTAGTCAAGGAAGTACCAGAGATTAGGAGAAAGAAGGCCAGGAAGATGAATGGACTAAAGAAATGTACTTAGAGGTATTAAGGTTCTACTTGAGATTAATGTCTCTGTGTAACAGGCAGATCTGTAAGGATTCACACTACAGACTAAAAGATAACAGTGTCCCTGTCACTGTTGTTGATTTGATCTTAATCTAGAGGTAGTAGGTGGTATTAGAGAAGAGAAAGGAATAAAAGATCTGTAATTTAGCAGAGGCAGTTATCATAATTTAAAGCTTACCTAATTATATACCTAGAAAACCTAAGAGAATCAACATAACTCTTTTAATAACGAAATTCGGGGCGCCTGGGTGGCATAGTCCGTTAAGCATCCTACTTTTTGATCTTGACTCAGGTCACGATCTTACAGTTTGTGAGTTCGACTCCTACATCGGGCTCTGCGCTGATGGTGTGGAGCCTGCTTGGGATTGTGTCTCTCCTCTCTGCCCCTCCCCTGCTTGTGCGTGTGCTCTTTCTCTCAAAATAAATAAATAAATGTTAAAAAATTTTAATGATCAAATTCAGTCAGCTGTTCGGGTGCAACGTTACTAAGAAACGAAATCAGTGCCCTCCGTATACAAATAGCAGTCAGTTAGAAAATACAGTGGAAGAAGATAAACCATCTAGGAAGCGATGCATCGAGTACACCTCGCTATAAAAGTACAAACTTTTTACTTCAAAAAATAGAAAATGCTCATGTGGTTTAAGGTTCTAAGAACCTTGTTCTTAGATTGGAAGACTCAATATTATAAAGACATACACTCTCCCTGCTTTAATCTCTAAATTTAACACATTCTTATAAGGAAAATACTGATAGCCTGAGGGTAGGGGATGTTGGGGCTTGGACAAATTGATTATTAATAGAAGCAGAATACCCAGGAATATTTTGGAAAAGAGAAGTAGTGAGAACCTATCCTGCCAAATATGAAAACCCATTATAAGATTATAAGAAACTATACGTAGTATGTGCATTGCATGAAAAGAAGGTCAGGGTGGTGCCACGGAAGAGAAGGTCTAAACGCTAAGGCAATTTAGACGTGCCAGTTTCATCATAGAGGGGAGAGAATTGGGTCCCTGTGTAGACATGAGGTTGGCTTCCTACCTTTTGCTTTCTACTAAAATAAATTTCAAATGACTTAAAGGTCTTTCTAAGGAATGAAACCATAAAAGTGGAAAAAGAGAACGTGAAAAAAAATACAATTCCTTTGGAGTTGGCAAAGCCTTTCTAATAAAGATAACAAAATCAGGATCTTCTGTGTGGTGACAGATGTTAACTACACTTACTCTGGTGACCATTTCACAATGAATGCAAAATACTGAATTTATGTTATATACTTGAAATTACACTTCAGTTTATAAAAATTAAATTATACCTCAGTTTAAAAAAAATCCATGGATAAAAAAGATGTATATATACACAATGGAATACTATTCGGCCATAAAAAAAAGAATGCAATCTTGCCATTTGCAACGACGTGGATAGAGTTGATAGTAGTATGCTAAGTGAAATAAGTCAGAGAAAGACAGCCTGTATGATTTCACTTGTGGGATTTAAGAAACAAAACAGGGGCGCCTGGGTGGCGCAGTCGGTTAAGCGTCCAACTTCAGCCAGGTCACGATCTCGCGGTCTGTGAGTTCGAGCCCCGCGTCGGGCTCTGGGCTGACGGCTCAGAGCCTGGAGCCTGTTTCCGATTCTGTGTCTCCCTCTCTCTCTCTCTGCCCCTCCCCCGTTCATGCTCTGCCTCTCTCTGTCCCAAAAATAAATAAACGTTGGAAAAAAAAAAAAAAAAGAAAACAAATGAGCAAAGGGGGAAAAGAGCAAGAGAGAGACAAACCAAGAAATAGACACTTAACTGTAGAAAACAAACTGGTGGTTACTGGAGAGGAGGGGGCAGGGGGTTGGGTGAAATAGGTGATGGGGATTAAGGAGGGCACTTGTGATGAGCACCGGATAATGTGCGGAAGTGTTGAATCCCTGTATTGTACACCTGAAACTAATATGCTGCATATTTATTGGAATTTAAATAAAAACTTGAGGGGCGCCTGGGTGGCGCAGTCGGTTAAGCGTCCGACTTCAGCCAGGTCACGATCTCGCGGTCCGTGAGTTCGAGCCCCGCGTCAGGCTCTGGGCTGATGGCTCAGAGCCTGGAGCCTGTTTCTGATTCTGTGTCTCCCTCTCTCTCTGCCCCTCCCCCATTCATGCTCTGTCTCTGTCCCAAAAATAAATAAACGTTGAAAAAAAAAATTAAAAAAAAAAAAAAATTGAAAGAGAATAAAAATAGAAAAACTGGAAAACTCCAGAAATTATAAGAGGAAAAGTTGTTCAATTGATCTCATAAAAATTTTACATGTACAAATTAGCATAAACAAAGTTAAATGACCAACTGGGAAGACTGTGTGTGTTCCATGTGACACAAAAGGGTAGTTACCTTAGGGGAGACCAATATCCCAGTAGAAAACTAGGCATAGGACATGGACCATTGATAAGTGAGTACATGTAAATGGTTCCTAAATATGTAAATTTTCTCCTTAGATAATGACAAAGTTCATTTTTTCTGCTTATGAGAATAGCATGAGGTAAAAGGTTTTCTAAACATCATTGGTCAGGGTTTGTGTTGCCAGTAGGAGAATGAAGTAGTACAAGTTTCTATGGAATTTGACAGTGTTGATCAGTTTAAGAGCATGGGCTTTAGAGCCTGGCTCCTTGTATTCAGATCTTGGCTTCACAGTTTATTAGCTCTGTAACCTTGGACAAGTTCCTTAGCTTCTGCCTCAGTTTGTTTACCATAAAATGGATATAGTAATAGTAACTGTCCCATGGTGTGATGATAAGACTTCATTGAATTGACACACAGTGTTTAGAACATAGTAGGTATTCAACAGATGTTATTACAATAGAGACTGACACACAAGTGCAGACATACGCAGCAGATGCAGCAATATTTGTAGTAGAAAAAAACGGGAAGCAGTCTAATCTATTAATAGAGCTTAGTTAATTAAACTGCATTATGGAACCACCAGTATGGTAGAATTCAATGTAACTTAAAATTGAGGTGGATCTACGTGTCATAATTAGTAAAAGGGATGTGTGGGTGTGTGCGCGTGCGTGCGCCTGCCTTTACCTGTATTTTGTTTATTGAATGTTTCTGGGAGGAAATACAGGATATACAGGAAGATGGTGGCCTGTGGGGGGACTGGAGGAAACTTACTGTATATACTTTCAAACATACTTTTACTGTAAATATGCTATTAGAATTTTTTTTATCACATGTGTCTCTTACTCATATTAAATAAAATAATTTTGTGTAAAGTACAAGAAAGTGGTGGGGTGTTCCGACTGGCAGAATCCGCAGAGTGGAAATGATCCTTCAACTATGCAAACAGTTTTCATCAATTCTTAATTTTGCCTCAGAATAACATTGCTATGGCACTGGAACTTACTTACCGGGAACGGCTGCATAGAGTATACAAGGAGGTAAAGAATCGCCTGGACTATCACATCTCTGTGCAGAACATGATGCGTCGAAAGGAACAAGAGCACATGATAAACTGGGTGGAGAAGCATGTGGTGCAGAGCATCTCTGCACAGCAGGTACATGATGTTCTGAAACTTCTGGAGCTGTATTCATTTCTGACGAGCCTCTGCTGATGCACTGTTAGGCTAGGAATTGCTGGTGGGGAGTCTTTTTTTTTTTTTTTT